AAACCCTAACACCAACCCCGCCACCGCACCGCAGGGGCACATTGAAAGGGGAGGGCCGCGCTGGCATCATGTAATGAGCGTTTGCCAAAACCGGCTGGCGGTGCTAATGGACGCAACATGAGGGGTGTCGCTTTTCAAGTGTTCCCATCGCTTTACAGGGTTTTAGCGTCAGTTGTCCACGCTTGATGTCTGCAGGTGTCGCTTCGAAAAATTCAAGGCTACAGCCCACCCAACGGGGTTCGTTAACTTAGGAGTGTCGCAGCCGCTGCACGCCCTGCAGCTGACTTTGAACTGCCGAGCTGTCACCACCACCTTCGGGATTTCCCCAAGAAACCACAGATCCATCTGCCAAAATGGCAGCGAATGCATCGTCAGTGGCCTGAAGCTGCTGCACGCCCTTCAGCTGACTTTGAACTGCCGAGCTGTCACCACCACTTTCGGGATCTCCCCAAGAAACCACAGATCCATCTGCCAAAATGGCAGCAAAAGCACGCCCGGAGGCTTGAATCTGCTGCACGCCCTTCAGTTGACTTGCAACTTTCGAGCTGTCACCCCCATAGTCTGGATCGCCCCAGGAAAGCACAGACCCATCTGCCAAAAGGGCAGCAAATGCAAGACCAGCGGCCTGAAGCTGCTGCACGCCCTTCAGCTGACTTTGAACTGCCGAGCTGATACCACCACAGTCTGGATCTCCCCAAGAAATCACAGATCCATCTGCCAAAATGGCAGCAAAAGCACCAGCAGTCGCCTGAAGCTGCTGCACGCCCTTCAGCTGACTTTGAACTGGCGAGCTGTCGCCACCAAAGCCTGGATCTCCCCAACAAACCACAAATCCATCTGCCAAAATGGCAGCAAAGGCACCAGCAGTCGCCTGAAGCTTCTGCAAGCCCTTCAGCTGACTTTGAACTGCCGAGCTGTCGCCACCACAACGTGCATGTCCCCAAGAAACCACAGATCCATTTGCCAAAATGGCAGCAAATGCGGTGACTGTGGCCTGAAGCAGCCGAGCTGTCACCACCATAGTTTGGATCTCCCCAAGAAACCGCAGATCCATCGGCCAAAATGGCAGCGAATGCACACATCGTGGCCTGAAGCTGCTGCACGCCCTTCAGCTGACTTTGCACCGCCTTTCGGATCTGCCCACCACCTTTCGGATCCCCCCAAGAGACCACAAACCCATCTGCCAAAATGGCAGCAAATGCACAGTGGGTGGACTGAAGTTGCTGCACGCCCTGCAGCTGTCTTTGAACTGCGGAGCTGTCGCCACCAGCGTCCGGATCACCCCAACAAACCACAGATCCATCCGCCAAAATCGCAGCAAACGCAAAGTTGCTGGCCTGAAGCTGCTGCACACCTATCAGCTGACTTTGAACTGCCGAGCTGTCACCAACAATTCGCTGATGACCCCATGTAATGATTGTGTCACCTCCACGAAACCACAGAGCAAAAGCTGCATGGGCATTCCGTGAACGTGGTTTTGTTCCAGCCAGGTTTGGTTGCAGCACCAGAGCTGTGACCTGATCTCCAGTCTGCAGCCCTGCATTCAGTAAGGACTCCTGTGGGTCATCCAGCACACGCCCCTCTACAGTGGCAAGTCTGAGGAATCCGAGCTGAAAAGCCTCCTGGGCCAAATTCCTCAATTCGCCCACCGTCGAGCCTTGATCCAGTGAAAAGTTCTCAAGCCGTCCGCTTGGCAAAGCGATGGTCAACCGAAGCATGTCGGAGCTTGAAAGCACACAATACATGTGCGTAAATACTCCACTCGATGTCCTTGAGTCCAAACATGATAAGGCAGGTGAGGTCTGATGAAGGAAAAGTTGTACGATTCTGGGTAATATGGCGTGACCTATCGAATCCTCATATGATTAATACTACCACGATATCATTAATGATGTGATGGCATGGCCAATGCTACGATTGCTGATACAATGATGTGGTCACTGGTATAACGGAATAACCCGTGGTATACTGGTATGATTAGCGGCACCATGGTATGACAAAATGGTATGACAAGAAACATCAATGCTACATTGTTGCGAGTACATGACGATACGATCCCGGTACGATGATGGTGTTTGATGACATGATGACAGATCCAATTCTGACACCCAATCGTAAGCCGTATAAGCAGACATCGGTAGAATCCGTGGTTTAGTGAGTTTCATCATGTGTCTAGCTGCCAATAAACCATCGAAAACTGCAGTTTTGACACCGCTGATGGGCGAGTCATCCTTCACCAGCGGGTGGCTCGCCCTCTTTGGTGGGGCTGTGATGTGCCCCTCGTGCAGGATGGCTTGTTCATCGACAGTAGATCAATAGCCGTAACAACTACTGTTGAAGACGGCCAGTAGTTGAAGCCGGGGCAGACAGCAGCGCAACAATAGATAAGCACACGGGTACGCCAGTAGAGAAGACTAGTGCATGGGGGTAGATATGTACACCTCTGTGGCCACCCCCGCGTTGTTGCAAAAGTATTGAACATGTCAAATCTGTTCCCAAAGACCCAAAGACTGAACATGAAATATGCGCGAAAAAACGAGCATGTCAAATCTATGGAAAAGCCTTGGAAAAAACAAAATCATGTAAAAAAACATCAAACAAAATTCTTGCAATCACTTGCACTTCCCAACTTGCTGAAGCTGCGCGGCAATGCTGGTGCTGCGAAATCTTTCTGCTGCCACCGATGTCACTGCGAGTTAGAGGTGTCTGCCAGAGGTCTGAATCAGAAAAGGACTGCACAAGAATCCACTTCATCACCAAAGCTCATTGAACCCGGGAGGGTGGGTGGGGCAAACTCAGGCTACAGGTCTATACACATTCCTTGCAAGTTCCCTGAGAGAAAAAAGTTACGCAAGCCAGCACAGCATTGACCGCGCTCAGGAAAGACAGGATGTAACGGGTAGAGGGCAGGGTTCCAGCGATTACGGAAGACAGGTTCATGGCAGCTGCGCGTTAGTCAGCCCCTGGTGCCTGCACCCTTATTGCAGATAGACGCTTGACCACAGCGGTAAAACGCTTTGCAAGAATATCCCATCAAAGCCTATGGAAAAGTATCATACTACGCGGCACTCTATAACTATAATTGGGCATCTTTGCAGTAGAAAAAACATGTCGGCCCCGTGTTTTCTCCCGTGAAGCTTTGACTCAGCCCGCCTGAGGCTGCCCTTGGCCACAGAGTGGTCGTAGCTCGTGGTTTCAAAAGCACGTAACACCGTCGTGGAGGTGAATCAACGGTGAATCAAGGGTAAGTTGATGATAAATTGCTGATGACTCGAAGGCTTTTAATGGTGAAGCAATGATGGTATAATGGGGAATAACGATGAATGGTGGTTCATACTCCTTCCTATTGGTTGATAGTGGCTCGAAATTCTTGATGTGTTTGTGGATGGACAAAGTGTTTGCATGCTAAAAACAGCCAAAATTAGGTGGTGGTTCACATTCCAACACTCCGACTTTCCGTTCAAAGGAAGTTGATCAAAAGCCGGGCTTCGCAGTGCTTTTGCACATGGCCCAACAGCACCGGGCTGACCATAGAATGCCACGTAACTTGAAAGAGATCCCATGATACGGGTCCAGATCAGATGTCACAAGCTGGGCGGTGAAAAGATTGCCACTTGACCGATTGTGCAAATTTCGTCCACGTTGGGCATTTCAGGAAATTTCTGGTGAGTATCCTGTGTTTAACATCCCGTTACTCCAATGGCACCAATCCGTTTTGTTGAGAAGGATTCCAGCCTTACACGTTTGAACTGAGCAATCAAAAAGACCTCAAGCTCACCCCCTAAACCCGAAACCCCAAACCCTCTCTGTCACGCAGGGGCGCCCAGACACAGGAGGCCGTGGTTCATATGTGGTTTTACGAAATTCGGGGGGTTACGATATAAGGGTCTAGGTGCCCTCCCCAACACCCCCTGAGCCGTGCAAAGCTATGTGGGCATTGCTTTTGCATTGTGTTGCTAGCCCTGCATCTTAAACCCGTAACCCGAACCCCCATGGCCTCAAGTTCTTAAACTCCAAACTGTAGAAAGTAAACCCCACAGTCTCAAGCGCAAGGCCAATAGACCTCTACCTTCAAAGCTCATATATAGTAAATAAAGTGCAATATATAATGACTACTATGTAATTTATAATTAAAAATATAAAGTATAAAAAACTAATGATAAAAAGCTTTATAATACATCATCTTATACAGTATATATTATATGTTAGATATTAAATATTATGCACTTGTTATGCAGTTTTGTGATATATTTTATATTGTATGATGAAATACATAATATATTATAAAAATAAATATATATGTTATATACTATAGATTATATATTATATATTATTTATTATTTATTATATATTATATGTTATATCTTATATATTATACATTTAAAATTATATATTAGATGTTGCATATTCTATATAATATTATAGATTATATTATATATTAATATATTATATATAATATTATTCTATAATATATATATCATATATAATTTCATATATAAAAACAATTGTTAAAAATTAAATATAATATATGAAGTATAATCTATTTCTAATATATAATAATTGACATTAATATATATATATATATAATAATATAATATATAATATGTAATATATATATTCAATATATAATATAATATATAATAAATAATATAGTATATATTTCATTTATAAATATATATTATATTTGTTATATGTATATATTATATATTATATATTTTTATATTATATGTCAAATATGATTATTATATTATTTATTATACATTATATCGTATTCTTTATATACTAAATACTATATGCTATATACTATATACTATATACTTGCTTTTTCTCCATATAATTTCTACTATATACTATATATTGTATACTTAATATATAATATGTAATATATAATATATAGTGTATAGTGTATAATTTATAATATATAATATATGATATATAGTATATAATATATAATATATAGTATATACTATATAGTATATAGTATATAGTGTATAGTATATAATATATGGTATATTGTGAAGTCGACCAGCACTGGACTTGCACTAAGCCAATGCAATCACAGCCCGGTCACGCTGTTTTACGACTTCGCGAGTCCAAGCACTTGTGCAGCTACGCCTGAGTGCGTCCGGTCGGACCGCACAGCAACCTAGGAGCTACTGTACGACACTACCGTGCTCAAAGGCACAAGCTCAGTACTTGAGCCAAAACATTGGCATTGTTACGAATTGCAAAACTACACATGCAAGGGAAAACAACAAGCTGCACTAGCACTAAGCAAGCACTCCATGCATGCTTTGACCTGCTCACATTCGCCCCTCAGCCGAGGCTTCCGGCTCACCAAGAGCTCATAGTGCATCAAGCACTTCAGCAACGCGGCAAATGGGGTAGGGTGAGGGTGTCGCGTGCGACTCTGGTAGAGCCCGCACATCATGAGCATTGGCATGCGGCTTGGGCGGCAGCCCGCACTACCGGACGGACGCACGACGACAGCAACCCTTCACGACCCTAAACCACCCCAAGTCGCGAGCTCTCACCTTTGTGCAGACAGGCGAGGCTCCAGAGTACTGGGCAGGTCTTTGTGCTGCTAGTGCAAAGCTATGGTACAAATGGTACACTGTACACTACCGGTCCTAAGCTACGGCTACGGCTACTCACCTATCCGGAACTACCCTACGGGCTACCAGACTCAGCGAGAGCCGCGCACATGGCTTGTGCCGCAGGCAATGCAGCTCACACGCGCTTCGGCGAGCGCATTGCCGCGACCAGGACACGGTCCGCAGCACCTGCAAAAGAGCACCCTCAGCACGAGGGGCCACAGGCAGGGCGGAGGAGAAAGGTGCGGGGAATGCAAAATGGGCAGGTTTCCAACCTGCCGCGGCTTTTCGCCCGCAGTCAAGCAAAAGAAAATGCAAAAGGTTGGCGAAGCAACGTGCCGTGCTGCAACGCCTGCTCTGATAATGCGTGGATGCATACCACGCCGCGCCAGCTGGCCGCAGCCTACTCGATACCCTGTGGAGCAATGTTGGGGGCACGAGTGGCGTTGCCAGCAACGTT